CTGTAATAAAGGTCATTGTAATACAACTGAAGCAGCTTTTGCAGATTTGTTTTGTGTGTTCCTGGTTTATATCCCAATAAAGTGTTGGAGTGCATAACAAGTAAAATGTTTCCAAAACGGAACAGTTGTTTTTCCCATCATAAATATGATTAATGTATAATCAGTTTTGCAACATATCTCCGTTGATTCTGATAAGCTGGTAATATTCAGTTATATATTCTATCTAATCTTCTCTGTACCTTTTTTTTTTTTTCTTGCAGTGATGGCTTCTCCTTAACAGCTGAAAGGTTACCTCATCCTGTCCAAGGCATAGTTCCACACCATAGAAACCTCATTCGAGAATTTAAAACACCCAGCGCAATTAATTTGCCACTTAATCAAGCATTTTCCACAGATGCAACCTCTAGGCGCCATGAGGTAGTGAGATATTTATACACCAGTTCAAAGAATGAAGTCAGTATTATCTGTGCACACCTTGGTTAGAAGGTCCCTAATGATCAGCTGAAAATCCCGAGGCTCGGCACTTTTAAACAGTTTGGGTGTCTACTTCATTTCAATCTTTGTGCCACTGCTGCTTAACTAATGGTATTGGGGACACCTGTATTCATATATTGTTGAATACATTTTAGGTTTTGGCACTGCTATCTGAACTGGTATCTGAACATCCCGACTTTCTACTGTCTGGCTGCTTTCTAAAGAAAACAAAACTAAGACTTTGATCACCTTTTGTCTTGGTGGATCTGGAATGTATTTTAGCTTACTTAAACTGAAAGTTCAGTTGGGTTGCAAGTGAAAGGATCATCCACATAGGCACTAAAATAAAGCCTCAGATATAAGAAAAGTGTATTGTACTGTATGGCTCAGTAATGTAGTAAATCTAAAACAAGATTACCGGTATTTCCCAAAGCAAAATGACTTACAAGCCTCTGATAAAAGCTGTTTCACAATTCACAAGCCACATATTGGTTCTAGGGCAATGAAGGTGAACATATTCCGATCTACTTCAAGCCACTTGACTTCAAGTCAAACCATTAACCTGGAATTAAAAAGGAAGCTACAATAGGAAGCTTCTGGGGTAAAGTTTTGCGATAGATTCTTCCTGAAAGCAGGCGGCAGCTTTGGTCCACTTTAACCTCTTGCCGTCCGCCCATAGTAAAAAAACGGACGGACGGCACTGCTACATCTGCGGGTTGCTGTCTCCAGACGGCAATTTTTTTCTGCTCGCGCGCACGCCCCCTAGCGGGCATGCACGGGCAGAAAAGACCCGACGATTAAACACACCCGTTACCGGGTGTTTCACATATAGGCGATCAGCGGGTCCATAGCCCGCCGATCGCCTATATGTGCTTGTTCCCCCCCTGCCCCCTCACCTTGATTCCCGGGATCCGCTGCCCCAGCTCTATCTGTCCCCAAAAAAGGGTATAAAATTAATTTCAGTACAGCGCTGCATGACGGAATAAATGTCAGTTAAAGTACCGCAGCGCTGAATACTGAAAAATGGTCTGGATGGGAAGGGGGTTTAACACCGCGGATGTCAACTGGTTAAGACTGCGCTCTTTATTCAGTCTAATGTCAAATATGGCTAGGCCTTTCAGATAAGTGCCAGCTGTGCATTAGCAGCTGGTGTTTGTCTGCACAGAGCCTACAAACAAGCCTGAGATAATTTTTTAAACTCAATAGAAAAAAATGCTGAGTGCCCGTTTCTAAAACTGGAGAAGAATGAAGCTGGTGACCAAATATATTCAATTCTACTTTCCTCTTTCTCATATATTAAAGATGGAACCTAACTGTTCTGCTTTTCTGACTGCTATTATGTTTAAATTGTATGTCTGGGTAAAAGTACATCTCTAAAATACCTGCGCATTTCCTCATGTTTTGGCTCTTTAAAAAAGCTGCTGAAAAATGTACTGTTGATCCTTCCAGTAATCCAGTGATCTCCTAACTTCCTGTGCACTCTGCTGCACTGAAATCCTAAACAGTGTTAGCAGCCCTGCCCAGTTCGCACCATAGACTATAGAACCCCATCATTCATGTTATGGAAATAAGAAGAGGTGTTCTGTAGTCCAGCAGGGGAGAATTGCACAGGGCTGACAATACAGCTTGGTGGAACATATGCACTGTATTGTCAGCTTAAACAGGTGGCTAGGAGTAGGGAAGAGGTTCAGATTTACTGCAACCTTGGTTTCACAGCCAATCCTGCTACTTTAAAATTGGGGTCCTGGTGAATGTTTTTCCAAATTTGGGTGATTTTTGTTTAACCCATAATGCTTTGCATGGCTTTTGAACAATGGCCAGCAGGTGAGTTTTGGATAAAGCAGTCATAGTTTTAGTGGGTTGGAGCTTGTGTTAGGATAGCTGACAAACCACATAGGGAGTGATTAGGGTCAGTTATTTATTTATTACAGGTGTTTATATAGTGCCGACAATTTACGCAGCGCTTTACATAGAGCACATTTACATGTAAGCAAACTGCTTTACGTTTGTGAATTGCGGTGGTGGGGTCTTGTTTGCCCCCACCAGTTTAATGGTTGATTTGAGGATAATGATCACCGTTAGCTGCTGTTCTGGCCATAACAAACTGCTTTGTTTTTTTGTTTTGCTTTCCTTTTTAAGAAAAAAAAAAAGATTAAGTGGGCTTTAGGGGGTTTCAATTCTTTTAGAGGTGTTTTTGTATGTTAATAGGGTCTTTTCAAAGCTGCTCAAAGTGCAGAATTCACTTGTTGCTGACCATCTGCTGTATGTTGTTTACAGCACACCACTGCATCATATCCCCATAAGGAAAAAAAAAGTGACAGTGACCGGTTAGGCCTATTCTCCCTGATTAAAGTGACATTAAACCCTCAGATTTTTTAACATAAACCAATACTGTAATGTGTGCCTTACTGTAATGCATGGTAGTTTCTCTTCTCTTTGCTGCTCTTCATTTTAAATCCTCATGTCTTCTCATGCTTGGGGAGAACTTCCCTTTGCAGCTCAGGGCCTCTTCCTGTAGTGCTGGCTCAGGTTACAAGCCTATACAAACCTATACACAGACACCGTGTATCCATTCCTGTGACAAGGCAGTCTGCTGCAAAACAGAAGTTCTGCCCAGCATGAGAACAGATACAGATTTAAAAGGAAGAGCAGCAAAGAGAAGGGAAACAACCATGGATTACAGTAATGCACACATTACAGTATTGTTTTATGTTTAATGTCACTTTAAAACTGTCTAGCCACTGGACAATGTACACAGCAATAACATCTGCAGGCCGACGCTCTTAATTCTTGTTGGAGAAAACCTGATTATTAATGGGCAGTATATATCCTATATGGTACCAACATTCCATTCAAATTGTTACTGAAACATACTGTACTTTAAACATTCTGTTAAAA